GAATGGTCAGGATGTGACCTTGAGCTAGTTATTAGTGATGTGCCACCAAACGTGCCACACTCTTCTGCCCTTTTTCAAAATGCATTCAAAAGACGATTTCTTTTCATTTTGTACTGTCTGCAATCGAAGTACCGAACTGTCAAACCTTTCAGAAGCAGTAAATTTAGAAAGTAGCCCAAAAAACGTACCTGACACAATTTCAATCCGTGCAGCCTAATATGGTGGGAAAACCGCAAATCTGGAAAACAGCACAGTTTTTCTGGTTGCTGTAGTGACCCAGCATGCTGACAATCTCTACTGTTTTCCATATTTTAAATGTAGTGTCACTATAGGAGTGGTTTTCAGACTGTTCGATGGAGTTTCACCACCATGACTTTTCACCACCATGAAGTTGGCACTTCAATATACATAATTTTAATGCAAGTCAGTGGAACCAGACTTTTTACAAGTCGTTTTGGGTCGTTTCTTTTGGTCCATTCATCGTGAAATTTATACACAATGTAAAGGGCAACAGGTATTTTCAAATTATGTCAAAATCTGAAAAACGACAAAATGTAGATGCAAGGTTTTCTTTCGACAGCAGCGATATATATATATATATCAAATCAGCCTGAGAGTCTGAACACAAGTTTCAACTGAAGGAATAAGACTAAAAACAAATCTGACCGTCTTTTTACAAAGGCCTTAACATGGTCCATTTCACACATTTGTGATCAAGGAATGGTGCAAATTTTCAAACATTCTTCTTAATTTTAATTTTCAACTGGAACTTTTCTTTGTTTTCAAATTTATAAAGATTTTAAAACTCTTGTTTATTTCCACATTTAAATGAAAAAACAGCAAATGTTCAATGCGGTCTTAGGCTTTTGGACTCAAATATATATATATATATATATATATATATATATATATATATATATATATATATATATGTATATATAACATATATATATAATATATACGTATATATGTATAAACAATATACTTGTAATCATTTAACGTAATAACATCCTGTTAGGGAGCTTTTAGAGGTTTTATTTGCTCTGACTGACTTTATTTACTTCTTAATAATTGAATTATACAAAAATCTTGAAAGTTCATTGGAATCCTTCTTTAATTTGTAATATCTGTGCAACTTGCCTTTGTGAAAAATTTTGTGTTATTTTCACTTCGTCAGCCAATTTGTTGAGAAATTAAGGAGTTTTATTTGCACGGCTGTTCAGAATTAGCTTTTAGTGTAATTTCGTTACCTTTCCATCGTGTTAAACAGCCATATATGTGAACTTTTTACATATCATGGCACATTTTAAAGTTCTAGTTGTCTCAGACAGCATATCCATGCTTATTACGTACCAAACCACTGGGACAGAGTAGCCTAAAACTATGGGTCAATTAGAAGTTAAAGTGCCCTAGAAAACAATATGAGTAATAAAGCGTCCAATAAAGTCCAAGTTCATATTTTCACTCTGTTACTGGAGCTAGTAACTATAGCACGTCCACGTGTTTGTATTGCTGGCTTTGTGGTGCGTTTCCATTTCCTCCTGCATGACTACATCTAAACGGTGCTATGTCTAGACCTTAACCTTAACCAAAGTAAACGCATTATTTCCTCATGGGAACAGCCAGATGCCACCACAATGGCAAAATCTTCATGTTTTCCATCATCCTGTAGACATTTGGTCTCCACAAACAGCCAAATACAAGACCAGACACAAACACAGGGCAGCCCGGCTAGACTAGACTGATCTTGCAGCAATTTTGCTATGAGGCAAATGCCACAAAGTCAGGACTAAGTCAAAAGCAGAAAATGCCAAAGCAGTGTTAAATAGACCCCGGAATACACCGTCCCACATCACCACCTCCCCCTCAGCTTCTAGAGCTAATGTTCCTCATTGTCAGATTGTGGTGAGAATATTAAGATTATTTAATATAGGGCTGGGCAATTTGACCATAAGTGTGATTATTGTGATAAATTATGTCACAATATGCTTTTCTGAGCATATCGTTGACACCATCAGTGCTTAAAGAACACACCAACAAATGCATGTTTCACTACAAAGTGAATATAATTGGTCCTGAAGTATTGTGACGTGACATTTTTGCTATACCGTACTCTTAATTCAACTTCTTTCTAAATACTTGGCATACGTAAAGTGGTCAAATGCTTTTATTTCATTGGTCATTTCACTTGAAACATTTTATGCAGGTACACAATGAGAAACATTACATATATTGTAAACATTTCAGATGCTGTCAGTGTGTAAATACGCTTGCTGGAGGTTAGGGAACCAGCTTTGTGACCGGAAGGTCACCGGTTTGATCCCCTGAGCCGACAGTACATGACTGAAGTGCCCGTGAGCAAGGCACCTAACCCCCAACTGCTCCCCAGGCGCTGTGGATAGGGCTGCCCACCGCTCCGGGCAAATGTGCTCACTGCCCCCTAGCGTGTGTGTGTTCACTAGTGTGTATGTGGTGTTTTACTGCATGGATGGGTCAAAATGGGGAGGTGAATTTCCCTGTTGGCCGACTAATAAGGGTCACTTAATAAGTACGTCATTAAGCAGTGAGTCTGCGGTTTTCGGTTTCATATCATGCTGCTTTTGTTTGCTTGTTTGTTTGTTTGTTGTGTACATGTCCCTGTTCCAGCTCACCATTTTACAGAACCAACCAACAAACAAACAACACAGGTAAATAGAGCCCAAACACGCCTCCCACCCCAGGCTCTCTTTGAAAACTCTGTGGAATCCCCTTTAGGAGAAAAGTTATAAAGAAATTAAGAAACTTACTGAAGAATAACTTTTTTATCAATCCTTGTGTGGTGTTTGGGTGTTTGTTACTCAGTGGTCTGCTGGACCCACCAAATTATTGTTTGTTTAAATTAAAAGAGCCGTAATAATTTATGTAAAAATACCAGATGTTTAAAATATATAGGTGTCCAGTGTAGGGTTCCTCTTTTAGCAGCTGTAGCCAGTCAGCAGCCTGTCCATGTTGTCCACCCTCACACACACACACACACACACTAACAGCAGGCCATGTAGGAGGAGAACAGAGTGAAGGACACAGCACCTCCACACTTTTACTCCCCGCGGGTTCAGCCCAACACCACACGTGTAATATAAATGTGTGGGGGGTGAACAGAGTGAAGACACTGAAAATGGGTTATTTTATGATCAAAATGATCAAAGGCCAAGAATCTGAGGGTGAAATAATAATAAATCACATAATTTTTTCTTTTGGTAAACATTGAAAACGGGTCCCACAGACCTGAACACCACACAAGGGTTAAGAACCCAGTGCCTCCAAACACATTCTCCCCTCTGGTTGCCTGTATTTGTCTCCTCACTGAATAAACTGAACTGAAATTTACTGATACTGAATACATACAAAGGAAGCCCTTAACTATGGAAGCCCTAAAGGGCCACTCTGGCTCTCCAAGTCAAGTCATTAAAGACCACTCGACTAGTGGATTTGCACGTTTTTTTTCCCTCTGATTTTCCATGATAGTTATTTTCATTTGTTTTCGTGAGATCTTGCAGTATTTATGTCAGTATCACAACATAACAGATAGTGTTTTATTGAGATAACATTCTTTACGTCGTGATAGTGATATAAATAACTCAAGATCTTGAGAAAACAAGAAAATAACCGTATCACAAAAAAGGGAATTAAAATAATGCAAATCCTTTCGGTCGTGAACTTGCACAGATTTGAAAGCGAGGTATTTTCATTTGCTCAAGGTTGTATAATTATCATGACACACTGCATCTCAAAATATATCTTGAGATCTCAAGATAGTTATTCCATTATCATGATATAACAAACGTCAGAACAATGTCTGTAACATTATATGAGATCTTGAGAAAACAAATGAAAATAACTACTAAAAACAGACGTGAATCACTGGCCTTTTAGAGCATCTGCAATGGATTTGCCTGTTTTTTACTCTATTTGTCTGTAATAACGTGATATTTTTATTTCTTTTCTTTTTTTATATATATATAATTATCATGACACAATGAATGTTGTTTTCTCGAGATCTAAAGATATTTATTATATTATCACATCACAAACGTTATCAAAACAAGGTCTGTTATAACACTTGAGATCTTGGGAACTTTGGGTTTAGCAGTAATCACCACAAATATAAGAGGATCTCAAGAAAACAAATGAAAATAACTCGCTATCATGGAAAAATGCAGTCAAAAAGGATCCATGGTGCTTTAGGGTTTCCATACTAAAAGCTTGTGGATTTGCATGCATTTTTACTCTGTTCTTCATGATAACAGGTTATTTTCAATTGCTTTCTCAAGATCCCAAGTTATTTAAGTCAGTATAATAACATAACCGATGTTTTATTTGCTTACTTGAAATACTGTACAATTATCACAACACCATGAATGTTATTTTCTCGAGATCTCAAGAAATTGATCCCATTATCACAACATAAAGAAACTTAAGCAACATGACGTCTGTTGTAATGCAAGAGATGCCAAGAAAACAACATTCACGACAAATATCACAAGATCTCGAGAAAACAGCATTTATGACAAATATCGCAAGATCTCGAGAAAACAGCATTCATGACAAATATCGCAAGATCTCAAGAAAACAAATGAAATTTGGATTTGCATGTTTTTTTTCCTGAGATATTTTTATTTGTTTTCTTAAAATTATATAATTATCACGACACAACGAATGTTGTTTTCTCGAGATCTCACGACATTTATTACATTATCACGATATAAGGAACGCTATCAAAACAATGTACCTTCTAATGCTCGAGATCTCCAGAAACAACATTCGTTTTGCAGTGATAACGACAAATATGGCGAGATCTCGAGAAAGCAAATGAAATAAGTCGTTATTACGGAGTCAAAAGCAGAGGCGAACCCATGGCCCTTTGCGGCTTCCGCACGATAGAGACTCTGAAAAGTCATGCAGTGCGAGTTTGATGAATTCAGTAAATTAGCCTAAACTGACCTGTGCGCGTGCGCTCTTACCTTGGTAGCACGCGCCGCGCTGGACGAGCAGCACGGGCGGCTGCTGGAGTCTCCGCGCTCTCTCGCTGGCGCGCCTCAGCTCGCACTCGCTCCTGTACGTCTGTCCGTCGCTGCCGCAGACGGGCTCGTACTCGCCGCTCCTGCACACGCACACGCCGCTCTGGCCTCTGCGCCTCACCGTGGCCGTGTAGCCCACCCCGCCGCCGCTCACCGAGCACTCCAGCCCCTCCGCGCACACCGGGTCGCCCAGCTTGCCCACGCCGCCGCACGCCTCGCCCACGCCGGACGCGCACACGAGGCAGCAGCCGCACTGGTCCAGCACCTGCCCGGTGGTGCACAGCTTGGGCATGGCCGGACACATGGTCTGGTCGCAGTGGCCCGGGCAGCCGCCGATCACGTAGCGCTTACTGACACGCGCGTCTGCGACCCCAGAGGCGCACGCGGCGCACACGCACATCAGTAACACGGCCCACATGGCGCTTCAGCTTCAGCAGCCAAACTCGAAAACAGGCAGGAGAGCTCGGCCCTGACGGTTTTGGAGGGGCGCGTGCACGCGGGGCGCGGGCGCGTTCACGACTGTGATTTCGCTGGCGCAGCGTTTTTTTTACTCTCACTCTCTCTCTCTCTCTCGCTCTTTCTTTCGCTCGCTCGCCCTTACTGTCCTTCAATCTCTCTCTTTATCCCCGTCTCTTCTTTCTTTCTCTCTTTCTTTCTACCTCTCTCTCTCTCTCTCTCTCTCTCACTCGCTCGTTTCTCTCTTTCTCTCTCTCTCACTCGCTTGTTTTTTTTTCTCTCTCTCTCTAACTTTCTCTCTCTCACTCGCTCGCTCTTTTTTTCCTTCCTTCCCTCTCTCTCTCTCTCTCTTTCTACGTCTCTCACTTGCTCACTTTTTCTCTTGCTTTCCTTCTCTCTCTCTTTACCTCTCTCTTTCTACTTCTCTCTCTTTCCTTCTCTTTCTTTCTCTCTTTTTACCGCTGTTTTTCTACCTCTCTCCTCTCTCACTCGCTTGCTGTTTCTCTTTCTTTCCTTCTCTCTCACTCTTTCTTTCTAACTCTCTCTCTTTACCTCTCCTCTCTCTTTCTTTTGTTCTTTTTCTTTCCTTCTCTCTTCTCTCTTTACCTCTCTCTTCTCTCTCTCGCTCTTTCTTTCTTTCCTTCTCTCTCTCTCTCTCTCTCTCTCCTCCTGCCCAAGAAGGGGGTCTGCCTGCAGTTATGCCTCACGATGCCTTCATGACCTCCAACAGCGGCGCATGAAACTATGTGAACTTAAATTAAAGTTCAGCCAGAATCTAAATGATCTCGCCCTAAATAGTCGACCAGTCAAGGAACATTTAGTGTGTAAGTTTTGCACTGGAGCTACGAGGCTAATGTAGCGAACAAATAATGGAAACTCATGTACACCAATTAACACACAAAGTCAGTCAGAGTGGTGTGAGATGTTCAATTCTAGAGAAACTTACAGAGAATTGTTCTCAGTGGTGGTGATGGGAACCAGACATCTGAAGAGTTTAATGCCTCTGAAAGCTCTTTTACAGAAAGTCATTACCTGAATTGTTAATGAAAGATAAAAGTGGTCTAAAACAAAACAAAACAAAAAACAAAAATCTCAGGGAAGAGGTCATACAGTGAAGAAGTTGCTTGAACACTTGTCCTTTCAGAAGTCATATTCTCAAAACAGGTAACGCACGATACACTATATGGACAAAAGTATTGGGACACCTACAGGAGCTTTTATGAATCCCATTCTAAATCCATAGTCATTAATATGGAGCTGGTCCCCCTTTTCAGCTCTAACAGCTTCCACTCTTCTGGGAAGCTTCTACAAAATGTTGGAGTGTCTGTGGGAATTTCTGCCCATTCATCCAGAAGAGCATCTGTGAGGTCAGACACTGATGTTGGGTGAGAGGGTCTGGCTCACAATCTCTGTTCTAGTTCATCCCAAAGGTGTTGGATGGGGTTGAGGTCAGGGCTCTGTGAGGGTCAGTCAAGTTCTTCCACACCAAACTCACCCAGCCAGGCCTTTATGGAGCTGCTTCATGCACTGGGGCTCAGTCATGCTGGAACAGGAAAGGTTCTTCTCCAAACTGTTCCCACAAAGTTGGAAGCGCAGAATTGTCCAAAATGTCTTGGTGCTGAAGCATTAAGATTTCCCTTCACTGGAACTAAGGGTTCTAGGCCAACCCCATAGCATTATGCCTCCTCCACCAAACTTTACAGCTGGCACAGTGCAGTCAGGCAGGTAACGTTCTCCAAACCCAAAATCGTCCATCGGACTGACTGTCCATCAGCCAAGGCAAGAATGTTGTGTTTGGCTCCTCCAATCACAGCAACGGCAACAGAAGTGAAACACATCACTGACATAACAATAAACACCGACTCACAAAGGACTATTTGATCAGCAGAGCGTTGGTGTCTTTTATGCTCTGTGCTCCTCAGCACTCGGCGACCCGCTCTGTAACCTTCCGTGGTCTGACGCTTCGTGGCTGAGTTGCTGTGGTTCCTAAACGCTTCCACTTTTCAATAATACACACACAGTTGATCATGGAAAATCTAGGAGGGAAGAAATTTCACAAACTGACTTGTTGCAACGCTGGCCTATTACAGTACCACCTTGAATTCAGTGAGCTCTTTAGACCCCTTCTTCCACCAATGTGTAAAGGCAGACTGCATGGCTCGGTGCTTGATTTTATACACCTGTGGCAATGAGACTGAATGAAACACCTGAATGCAATGATTTACCCCTAACCCTTGTTTTCAAGTGTCACCCTAAGTGGTTGAAAACATTAACAGCTACCAGCGCTGCTCTGTAGGCGACCCTGCCAGTCTGCAGTGACAGCAGAGGAGGGTAAAGTTCAGCTCCTCACTGCTGGGCTTTAGTTACATTTAGGGCATCATATGCCTTCAAAGAGGGGGGGCAATTATTTATTATCACCCACCCCTAATTCTTCAGTGATATGAAGCTGAAGTCAGATATTCACCAGCTTCTAGTTTGAATTTTCCCGTTCCACCTTAAATGGAGCAGCAGTTACATTCTGGGGCTTCAGGCATCAGAACTGCTGGACTAGGGCCTTAGAGGTGTGTCCCAATACTTTTGTGCATATAGTGTATTTCTCATCTGATAAACACTCTAAAATCTCTTTTATCAATGCTTACATCAGCAGTTAACAGCTATGCACTACGTAGTTCACACAAGGTAGATATAACTATGAAAGTGTTTTCTATAAGCTGCCGTGCAAAGCAGTAAGAACATTTCAACACATTTGCACACTTCTGAATTATCAAAGCAACAAGCTTCAGTGTAAATTGAACATACTTGGTGTTGGCACTGGATATTGTGCTGTGTAACTTGGTATAACCATTTGAGAAGCAGGTACGATATAAATTATATGAACTTCCAGAACCCAGTGAGAATGAAATCCATTCAGACTCTCAACACATCTGCAACTCGTTTCCCCAAACACTTAGCTGTACAGAATGAGATAAGTTTACACCATAAAACCTCCATCAGTTTCGTCCCTGGTGGTGATAAACTATTTTAATATACTGTATTTGGGACAAAGCTTTCACTGTGCTGTGATTCTCCACTGAGCGCCCACAGCTCAGTAGTTACAGCTAAGCAGGGGGCCGTAAGCAGTCGTTTAACTGTAGGCCCATGCAGAGGTACAGGGGCATAAAGGGACCGGGGGAAAGAGCTGGACTGAATGAATGCTGTTCTACTCCCAGCATCGACTTACAGGGGTTTTATTTACGAAGCAATTTGCACGGCTACATGCTTAAAAAATAGGGTTTCATGAATGGTCCTTTCTTGGGCATACAGTTCTAGGGCAAAGCTTAATTGGTACAGAAAGTTATTTGGAGGTTCTTTAAACTTTAAAACAGTTGTTTCCTCTGAAAGTTCTTTGGGGAACCAAAAGCGTAGGGCTCCACAATATGGACAGTATGCTAGTATTGAGGTATATTAAAAGATATTGCAAGATAAAATATGTTTAGGAATCAACAATGTGCAGCTGCATTATTTTCACCAAAATAGTGGACTTTTGTTGGAGATCATGAACACCTTGGTTAATCGGAACACCTGCAGAAACTCTCTGTCACCATAATTGGTCAGGATGCTCACAAAACTACTGTGATTGGTTAGAGGGCTCATGCAAATTGCAGCCAATTGTAAAGGCCAATGTTAGGGATAACAATTATAAAAGAATATGTTGTGCAGTGGCTCACCTGTTACCATTTAAAGTCCCAGTCAGCAACTGACCAATAGAACTGACCAACAGAATGGCTGTCCTAAGGCTAGCTGTGTTTGACCTGTACTCTTGTGTTGTTCTCGAAAAGCTTAAAACTTTCAAGGTCAAACCTTTAAAAACCTTTGGGGATTTGGAGACCTCTCTGGTGGAAATGTGTAACTGCACACGCCATGCAGAGAAGCGTTTTGTAGTGTTGGCTGTGTTTCAGAACCGTCCCTGAATCTGATGTATTGAAAGAGTATTCAAAGAGACCTGGTGAAGGCCGTGTCCTCCCAGGATGTGAATGAATCATCTACCATTGTCATCATATCTTCATCACTGTAATGTTGATTTTGCTTTTGAGACACTAAACAAAGCGCGAGACATTCTGTTTGGGCCTGTGTGTGTGGCGTTCATACATAAAGATGACTAACTGCTAATTCTAATCACACAGCGCTAGTTTAAGCACCTAATATTTAACAACTTCATTTCACTAATAATTACAGCAGAAGAGTCAACTCAATAGAATAGAACAGAATAGAACATATTATAATATATTAGAATATAATAGAACGTAATATAACAGACTACAACAGAATAGATTAGAAATTAATGCAATATATTATATTAGAATTGAGTTGAAATGAATATAACAACAGAAAAGAACAGCACAACAGAACAACATAGAACAAGCTAGAATACAACAGAACAGGATAGAACAGAACAGAGTAGATCAAACTAGAATAGAACAGAACAGAACAAACTAGAATAGAACAGAACAAACTAGAATAGAACAGAACAGAACAAACTAGAATAGAACAGAACAGAACAGAACAAACTAGAATAGAACAGAACAAAGCAAACTAGAACAGAATAGAACAGAACAAACTAGAACAGAATAGAACAGAATAGAACAGAACGAACTAGAATAGAACAGAACAAAGCAAACTAGAACAGAATAGAACAGAACAAACTAGAATAGAACAGAATAGAACAAAGCAAACTAGAACAGAATAGAACAGAACAAACTAAAACAGGATAGAACAGAACAAACTAGAATAGAACAGAACAAAACAAACTAGAACAGAATAGAACACAACAAACTAGAATAGAACAGAACAGAACAAACTAGAATAGAACAGAACAGAGCAAACTAGAACAGAATAGAACGGAACAAACTAGAACAGAACAGAACAAACTAGAATAGAACAGAACAAAACAAACTAGAACAGAATAGAACAGAACAAACTAGA